GTATTTTTAAAAAATTTTCATTTTATCTATAACATTTTTATTTCTAGGCTCTTTATATTATTCTTAAATTGATCCTTTAGAATTTTTTTTCCCAATATTCCATTCTTGTTTGGTGGTTGCAATTATATGAATTATAGGTTTGGTTGTTTGTTCCTTAACTTTATTTCCTCATACAATTTGTGCTACCTTCAAATGCCCGTTTTTCTAGTTTGGACCCTGTCTTTCATATCTGAGACTTACCCCCAGCACCTGGTGATCCTTTGTTGTCAGTTTATATTTAAGAACGAGGTTGGAGTGCCGGGGGTGGGCGTGGGGCCTGTTGGCTGGTGGGGGGCTCACAAGGTGATGTAGCCGGGAAGTAGCTTTTGGAGCAGGAGACCCCAGAGTCTGGGTGTGCCGATCCGCTCTCTGGCATTCTTTAGTGTCTCCAGAGATGAATCCTTCGATATCCAGCATTTAGGGGATACCCCTGGCTGCTGAGGTGCCAGCAGCAGGAAGGAGGATAAGCCTGGTGGGAGCGGGGTGGGGGTGGTGCAGGGGAGGGCCCACCGTTCAGTGTGCATAGTTACCCCCCTGTTTTCAGTCTGGAGTCTACTTCCTCTTGATGTTCTGGAGCCCTGAGCCTTACTCGTTCCATTTCTGCAGAAAATACATCTGAAATGGGGACAAGGATCTGGGAGTATAACTGCTATGTTTATAGACCTTGTTCGGATCTTCCTATTTCAGCTGGAAACTTACACGCACCCACCCCCACAGCCCCCACCCTCACCCCAGTGGAATCTGGTAGCTCTGGGGCCCAGGGTCTGGGGGCAGATCATTAGTCCCTTCAGGTCCTTAGATGTCATCACCACTCCACTTTGCTAAAGCCCAGCCTTTCACTCCACATCCAAACAGTTGTTGGCATCTCTCTTGCATCGTACTCTGCTCTTGCTCTTTATTTTAGTGGGTTCATACCTTCTCCACATGGTTGTCATTTGAGAAGAATATTGGCAGCGAAGGGAGACAAAGCCATGTGTTCAGTCTGTCACTGCCCACCTACTCCTCCCAAGAGGCAGCTCCTGTACCCAGGGAGACTCTGGAAAGACAGGGAGGGCATGCAAGAGTGAGTGTGTATAAGAGAGCAGAATGAGTGTGTGTGTGTAATAAAAGAGTGTATGTGTGAGAGTGTATTGTGTGGGGGTGCGCGCACGTGTGTGTGTAATAAAAGAGTGTGTGTGAGAGTGTATGTGTGTGGGTGTGCACGTGTGAAGCCCCGCAAACAGATACTCAAGGCATAGTGACAGCATTGGACATACTCCAGTGATTTGGGGAACAGGGCAGGAGAGCAATAAGATGACCAGAAGAATAAAGGACCTCATTGTTGAAATGGGTATATGGCCTCACAGAGTGGGGATTCTGAAGGGGATACACTCAGCTGAAGGGATTATATCCTGGAAACTTCATTTTAAAATGTTTGGTTACCAGGGTGCTGGGTGGCTCAGTCAGTTAAGCGTCTGACTCTTGATTTGGGCTCAGGTCCTGATCTCAGGGTCGTGGGATCGAGCCCCACATTGGGCTCTGTGCTCAGTGTGGCATCTGCTTGTCCCTCACCCTCTGCTCCTTCCTTCCCTGCCCCTCTCTCTCAAATAAATAAATAAATAAAATCTTAAAAATTTTTTTTGAGATTACCTTGCTTGGGGAGCTAGCAAGGTGTATAGCTTTTCACATTTTGCTCCCGATTGAATGGCTGATTCTTTCATTCCTTCAACAAGTTTTGATTGAGCCCATACGTTCCAGACACTATGCTTACTGCAAGGGAGAGATGAGGATCGCCGTTTTCCTTGTGAAGCTTATAGTCCAGTGGCAGAATAGCCAGGGGGCAGGTAAACATTAATTGCACATGTGTATAATTTGTATTTGAAAACTACATCTAGTCCCAGAGATGGGGAAGGAATCACAGAGGACCAGCTGAACCCCAGCGTGACGGTTTAGGACTTTTTGCATCTTGATGTAGCATGACATCACTTTAAAGGTTTGGTTCAATGTTAGACTAGATGTCTCCATTTTTCGCTTAGGCATGTTAGCGCTAGCTTTGTTGGTGCTCCCTGGTGTGCACTAAGCCACACGCTTTGCACATACATCATCTCTAACCACAGTGCCCCCAGGAGGAGGGGGCTTGCTTCAGCTATCCTGTGTCAAGTTCAGGTCTGCCTCTTAATTTCATGGGCTGTGCTGCACCTAGAGCACATCTTCCTGCAGCCCTCGGCCCACCTCCCCACGGCCTTTCCCGTCCCGGGATTCAGAGGCTGGCTGCTGGGGTCTCATGGTCAGAGTTGAGACGTGAATTTCATGCAGCTACCTGCCTCATACATAATGTATCTTGTAGGTTGTTAGCTCATCTAATTTGGGATGGGAAGAATTAAGATTAGTAAACACCTTTATGTGACTGGGTTGGAAAGCAGCTTCTGGGTACATCTTATTGTTACAGGGAAGGCAAGGCTGGGAATGCCCGGCTTTGTTACACTAGGCCCACTTCCCTAGTGCTCCTGATGAGCTGGGACCCCGGGTCTTCTCACTCCTCACTTCAGTCCATCCCCTGCATAGGTCCAGGCTTTGGGCAGCTCTGCACTTTGCCCAGACACACACACACATACACACACACGCGCTTGTGCTTGCTCACGCGCTTTCTCACCACCTTCCTCACCTCCCCTTAGTTGAGGTTGAAGGGCATTACACATTTTTACTTCATTGCAAATGAGTTGTGGCCTCAGGGCAAAGCCAGGCCTTTGGTGGTCCATTTTTAATGCTTCTCCAGTGCGGGTTGGAGGACCGCCACTGTCTGGGCCTCTGAGGAAAGGGCAGGCCTGCTGCGAGCTTTTTCTCTTTACACACTTGCCCCGGCCTCTTTATCACAGTGAGGTGGCTTCTCACCCAGAAAAAGGAAAATTCAGGCAGTGGGGCAAGCAGAGGGAACCATCATTTCCAAGCCCTGGAAACAATAGTCTTGATTTAGGGTACACCCACCCCCCAGTGCAATTCCCAGATATCCAGGAGAGCCCTTCTGAACTCCATTCCTTTTCTAGTGGGAGGTTAAAAACAGCTCTGTCTTCTGAGGTCCCAGCGTGGGGTTCCACAGCCTTCCAGTGTTCTGCAGACTCTTTTTTTTTTAATTTATTAAAGATAATATATTTATTATAGAGAAACCATATAGGTTCCCTTATTTCTTTATTCCTACAGCATCTTTTTTTTCACATCTTAATGGTTCTAAAATTGGAATGCATCTTAAAATAGATCTGTACCTTTTGACATTCTGTTCTTTTTTTCCTGAAGGGTTATTCTTTAAATCTGTGGGTTTAAATGACTACGTCCTAGAATTGAGGAAGTACAGTAAAAGGACAGTTGGGGAAACAAAAATCTTTCAAAACATGGAATCCACAGGAGAAAATCGACCCAGGGGATCCTTGGTGGCAGAGAGCTAGTGCCACTGCCTGAAATCTCATGTTTTCCAAGAAACTTGATGGAAGACCATTATGGGGAAAAGTGCTGAGGAGGCCTGATGCCGTTCTATTTCATGTCTTTCTGTGGGGGTGACATATTTGGAGCCAGGGTTCCTGAAATTATCCCCATACCATTCCTCCTCCAGGTTTCAGGCCAAACATATTTGCAAATGTAGCATAAGGACCTTTCTTTTCCTGTGTTGCATTGGCTAATTTACAACTGTTCTGTTTGGAGGGGGAAAAGAGGCATTTTTCTTTTGCCAGTTGGCCTTTGGGCCTCTCTGAGGCAGCCTCGGAGAACATGGCTGTGGGGGGCCCTGGGGATGTCCTGGCAGCGCAGCCCAACACGCCCCCGTCCTGCGCGTGTGACAGCCCCAGGCCGCTGGCGCGCTATATAGCGTGTACTCGGGATGGGGCTGAATCAGGGCAGTTTTTGTGCAAAGCATGGAGGTGCTTTCAGCAGTCTGTCAGATCAAGGACCGCATCCCAAAGTCTAAACCTCAACAGGACAACCGGGGAGACGACAGAGAGCAGACGGCTTTGAGCTCATCCCAAAATGGGGTGCCACTCCCTCCGTCTTCCTGGCCGTGCCCCCTGGGGTGCCAACCACAGACCCTGGGCCGGTAGTGCCATCCTGCTGGGCTGCTGGGCGGGAAAGCAGAGCACGCCCTGCCAGGCCGGGAATAGAGCCGTCTGGAAGGAGATGGGGGCTGTGCTGCCCTCGTCCAGCTCTCCAATCTCCTTGTCCACTCTTTGCCCCAAAGCAGGAGTCTTCACACGAGGCCCCCCAGCCCCCAGCCCAGTACACAGGTCCTTTAAGACTCAGCTCAAGGCTGGCTTCATGCTTGGATGCGTCTGAGAGGATCACCGCTATATAGCTGCGCACGGGAAAATGGCTTCTTAGTGAGACTATAAACAAGGAGCTGAATCTTTTTTATTTTTCTATCATGAGACAGTTTCCGACCTTGAGTACCCCTTGCAGAGCTTGTAGGGAGAAGACACAGCGAGGAGCGAGTTTCCCTGGCACCCCGCGCCCAGTCCCCACGAGGGTCCCGATGACGAAGCACCCCGGCTGGCCCCAGGGTCCTGGAACAGGCCGCCGCGGCCGTCTCCTCGTGGGCGGTGCCCGTCTCAGGTGGCATTTCACACCCCATTGGACTTTTTTCTGCACCCTCTGCCGTCCCCTGAGTAAGGGGTAATGAGCAACTTAATGTGCTGACTTCTCCAGTCCCTCCTTGGTCCATTGCAACAAAAGTTGCTCTTTTCTCATTAGAACCATTTTTGTCAGGGTGTCTTTAATCAGTGGCTTCCCTGGGGACAATATTTTTAGAAGTTGTATTTGTCACACTCCCCGTTTTCCAAACCTTTTGGAAAGTCTCTTCCCGGCGCCTGGTGAAATGAACTAATGAGATGCTATGAGAGTCCGGGCCGATGTTAATTGGCGCGGGTACGAAGAAGCTGCTCAAGTACACCTTCGGTTCCAGCCTGCCTCACCTGCACTCCTCTTCTGTCTCTTTGGTGCAGGTTGCACAGACGGCAGATGGCGTGGACGCTGACCTCTGGAAAGACGGCTTATTTAAATCCAAGGTTACCAGATACCTGTGTTTCACGAGATCATTTTCCAAAGAAAATGTAAGTCTAGTAGTGGTGTCCGTTTGCTGAGTGAGCACAAGGCGTTACGTGCCTGGTTGAAATTTCCTCTTTTCTTTTCTTTCTTTCTTTCTTTCTTTTTTTTTTTTTTTTTGTTGTTGTGGTGGTGGTTTATTTTCATTGCCATATTAATCAGTGGTTTTAGTGAACTGGGTAGAATCAGGAGCTAGCGCTATGTTTCATTTATTAACAGTATTATTAACCATGTACCCAAGTGTGCAGTGAATTCCATTAAAATGTGTTCTCAAAAGGGAACCAGGAAATTTCTCTCCCAGCCCTCATGTTCCTAGCTTTCCTGTAAGTCACAAATCACAGGGTGGTGTGGACGTGAGTATTTGCCGGCGCAGCTGGATTTAAAGCTGGCCAGCACGCAGAGGCACAGGCTCCACGACCACTTCTTGCCTCAGACCCGGCCTTGTCTCCAAAATGACTGACTTTCTCCATGAGTCTCTGTGACGTTTGACATTTCATTGTTTCTGCAGGTAGGTATCTACCCCGTATGCAGGTTTCTTTTAGTTTGCTGTTCTGAACTCTTGGGCCCATAAATTAGGATGTTTTAAAGCTGTCTATTAAGCCTTTTCCAACAGAATGTTTTAATGAGTGTCTTAGAAAAAAAGGGAAGTAGCTTTTGTGAGGATTTACACAGATCAGCTCTGAGGGAGGCCTGTCGTAGGCACTCTGCAAATAAACCTCTTCCATCCTCAGACAATCTCTTGAAGTATTAGCTCCTTTCCTGAGATCAGAGAGTTTTTGTGCTTGCCCAAGGTCACCTGTGTTCCCTAGCCCCAAACAGGGTGCAGTCAGATTTTCATTTTCAGGGGTGACATTTTATTTTTGGCCTAAATGTTATTGTCTCTTTCTAATGCAAAAAAAAAAATGGGGGGAGGAATGTTTTTATTAATTTATTTTTATAAATTTTATTATGACAGTAATATATGCTCATGGTTTAAAAAGAAAAAAATATTTCAAACATCCTCATCCAGAGGTGTGAAAGGGGAACAATAAGTCTTCTCCCCATCATGTACGACACAGCGGTGGTCCTATCCCAGGGTCCTTGTGTGCTCCTTCAGTGTTGTTGGCATGTAGACAGTCACGTGATCCTCTGGCTTGCACTCTCTTCCATCCGTTCCTGTTATTTATTGATAAGTCTTTGTTAGGAACATTATTCCTAATGTATTCAGGACTGGGGGAGAAGACAGCGCTTTAATTTTTTTCCCCCTAATTATGTGAGTAATATATGCTTGCTGTAAAGTCCAGAGTTTCTAATGGGGCAGGGACAGTCCTGGTGCTAAACACTAGAAATCCTTCACGTACAGGTGAGAAGGTGGCAGCTGAGCCTATAATGAGTCTGAGCAGGTCCCTGGGGCTCATCGTGCAGCCCGAGGAGACATTGAGGAACAGTCTGGAGGCCAGGTTGCCTTTCCGGCTGTGGGCTCGAGCAGATAGGGGTAGTTACCCGCCCCCCCTACCCCCGGCATTGCTCCATTCCTCCACCCCTGCATCCATATCCACATGCAGTGTACTCTCACTCCCCTTTGTCCCTGGAGTTGACCTAAGCCTGTTTTTGAAACTGTTTATATTTTTAGCTTTTGTCACCTCTGTTCTGTCTGCTGGCTGCTGCTGTGTGCAGGTCAGTGCATTCACTGCTGCTCAGGCAGCAAGGACAGACTCCTGAGGATTTGCACAACTCACCGTGCCCAGTGGTCTCACGATGTTCTTTACTGATCTCTGCTCAGCCCCCACCTTTCCTGACTGAAGCTGCAGTTCCCAACTGTGGCCCCAGAGGACAGCCACGATCGCTTTGATTGTTTTTGAGTTCTGGTTGTTTTTTGGTTTTTTATCTTTTGGGGGTTGGTTTTGCATTTCCCCTGAAGGCTGTGGGGTATTGGTAGTCTAGGCCAAAAGAGTCCTGGATCCCTTGGAGTTGGTGACAGTGACAAGTCTAAAAATGACAGAAGTCACCAGTACTTGCTAATTTGGAGTGCCCTGCATAAATGTATGATAGAAGATGTATCGAGTTCATCAGCGTTTGTTGAACGTGAAAGAGTTGTTATTGACTGCTCACTTTGTAAGCCTTACCCTGTGCGGGCTGGGTGTGATGGAGCAGGGTGTGAGGAAGGGCTGGGAGAGGAGTATGAGGGCGGTGGGAGAAGTCTCTGCCTCCCCTCTGAAGGAGGGTGGGAAGTCGGTGCATTTTGTTTTCAGAAGAAGAACGACTGAGCCCTTTAGTGAGATCCAGAGGGATCCACTCAAGGGGGGGTGGCAGGTACCCACTTGCCAGCCCAGGAGCACAGTAGGAATGGGTATGTTTTAATCCACTACAGCCGGTCTGTCCTGGCCCTGCTGTCACAACCAGGACATTGCGTAGTGTGTATTTTTACAACTGTACAGGAGGGATGTGGGATCTCAAGACTGGACAGATTCTTAATTAGGCAGCTCGAGACTCCCAGTGTAGGAGTTTGAGGGCACTCCTTTGGAACCTAAGTTCCTTTCCCCCAATAATGCTATTAATACGGAAACCTGGCTTTGGAGTGACATTGCTTCCTGGGGAAGGCTCGAGATTAATTGCACTTTTCATGCCCTGTACTTTCTGCATTACCTGTAATAATAATGTACATAGATTAGGTAGGGAGGATATTAAACAGAAGGATTTATGAACATTTGAATATTAAGTTGGTTATCTGTGGCTACCTTAAATGCAAGGTTGTCAAAAATAATTACAGTATACTGGCAAATACTGGCTACCAGAGACAGTATAAATACCCTGAGTCAGTGCATATTGGGCTTTTGGCATGAATCATTTGCTCAACAAGGATTGGGAATATGTTCTTCATATTTATGAGGAGGAAATGAAAGAGAGCATGGGATGGGGGAGGGGAGCAGTGTCACAGACCTACTGTATTAAACCCAGTACAACAGCAGCCCCGTGCACGGAGGGACCCCACTTGGGCTGTGGGAAGCCTTGACAGTGCAGCCTCCCATTTTGTATGCATGGGAGTGTTCTTGATGCGCTTTTTTTTTTTTTTTTAATGGCCACACCACTGACGTTCTGGTTTTATGATCAGGGACATTTGTAGAGTGTGGAGGGTGAGGTCGCTAAGTGGTTTGCAGTTGACTTGTGTAAAACCCAACTTGTCAAGTCGAAGACATTGGAGAAGGATATTGATGAATGCCCATCCATCTGCAGGGCAGGAAAACATACCCAGTTGTTAATTTCTCAATGCAGAAAGCAGTGATGACACGGAAAAGCAACTGCCAGGAAAAGAAAAAAATGTGATAGATTAGATCAGGCAATTCTGAAAGCAGCCGATGTTTTCGAGTTAGGTTAACGGTTCAAACCTCTTCTACACGGTCAGAGATTTATTCTGCATTAGTAAGGTTCCGCTTTCCACGGGCTGCACTGCGCTGTGCATTGTTTCCCCAAGACCCGGCTACCTGAAATGTAATAGTAGAAAATAGTCACCAAATGCAGTAATTGTGAGAGAAAGAAACAGTTTTGTGACAACAGTGCCCTAAAAGCCCTGGTCACAGTTGACACTTGACACATGGACTGTCATAGTGAAGTTTGAAGAATTTATTTCATTTGTGAGCTTTCGGTTTATAATGTATTTATTAAGTATACTTTTGTTTTTATTGATACCGTTTAGATTTGTCATCTAAGCAAATCCAATTTGATTTCCGACTCTGGCCCACCCAGTTGAAAATGTACCCCAAAACATTACATTATTCAGTAGATAATAATTGCACACGTACTATGTGCCAAGAAGTGTGCTACGCTTGGATGTATGGTAGTAACAGGCAGTTTTGGTCCTCGTGGCCCTTGAACTCTCGTGGTGAGACAGATACTGAAGAAAGAACCTCACAAATGTGCCATTATAAATGGGTAGGAAGGAAAATAGGAAGTGGCCAAGAGAGACGATAGCACAGCGTTCAGATGGTAAGAATTCCCTGATTGGCTCTCCGAGCTAGTGTTGGCATGGAGCGTTTCAGCCGGAAATGTGGGCAGCAAATGCCAGTGTGTTTGCAGAGGATGCGCTCTCCTGCAGTTACAGAATGGTGTGTGCTGTCTTCAGATTGTATTTTTGCACTGGTTACAGAAACCGCGCACTGTGGACCCCCTACGCTACCACTAAATAGAAACTTTAAGAGGCCCTTGTGCATGTCATTTTAGTAGATGTGTAATATTGAGGCAGCAGGGCTTTTCAGCCTGTATTAGGTTGTGATTCCTGGGATTTTACAGAACGTATCCAGCAACCGAAATGTGTGTCAGTATGCAGACTGGCGATCACTTAGGAGTGTGACTGGTTCTCTGGTTGACACAGCTCTCCCCTGCTGCAGTGACTGCCCTAGGAATGCGCTCTCTCTAAAACCTGTCGGCCCCTGAGAGCCCATGCTCCAGGCTGAGTGGCAGCCTGGTCCCAGGACATGCGTGCACAGCTGCCCTCTGCTGGGTTAAGTCTCCCGCATCTCCTGGGTTGCTGTCTAGCTAACCAAAGCCGTGTCTGAGTGAGTGGCTTTGAGGTGCTGCAGATGAAGCTCCTTCCCGGGGGCCACCCGAGTCCCCGTGTAGCCGCTGGGGAACATTAAGTGGCACCTCCTCTAATTAACCTGCTGTAGTAAAGCTGCATGAGTCATTGTGTTAAATATGCATCTCGAAGCCAAAATGGCAAACCCACCACAGGGGTGTTCAGATTAATAGTCTGTATCTCTTTTCTTTCTTCCCAAGAGTCATTTAGGGAACGTGTTAGTGGATATGAAGCTCATTGACATCAAGGACACTCTGCCTGTAGGCTTCATCCCAATTCAGGAGACGGTGGACACACGTGAGTCTCCCTTTAGTACCACTCATCACAATGGGACTTTTCTTCCACCAGGTATATTTTTAGATGTTTTGTATGTGTATTTTTCTTTGGGAACATTTTAGGAGGCCTTGCTGCATGCCCGTGAATAAACCCTGCTGCTTTTGCTGTGTATCTGACTTGGTTCTCCAAGGAGTTTGTGGCGTTCTGGGTAGGAGCATATAAATGAGCAGAATGTCCCTTTCTCTTAGAATGGGCTCGCTGCTGAATCGGCTCACTCAGGAATGGAACGGTGAAACTGGTTATAGTCCCTCCTTAGTCCACATCCTCTGGTGTCGTGGAAGCCAAGCTTGGCCCGAGACCCAGAAGCAAAAGGAAAAAAAAAATCAGAGATGCCCAAGGAATATAAGTGCAATAATGTCCTTATTTTTGGCTCTTGGAGCATACAAGAAAAGCCAGAACCAGAAAGACCGCACATTAGCGGACACAGGATCGACTCTGAAGGAATACTCTGACCCCTGAGCCACAGCGAGCAAAAGCGCATCACTGACCAACCGAAGCTTCTTCAGGATCTGGGAGGGCTTTGCGGTTCTTGTCATGCCTGTCGGTTATTAAATAATGCTGGAAAACCTCTGGATATTTGAGCTTCCTCATTTTGATTTAACTTGTTTTATTTTTAATTACTGTCACCAACTTTAGGATGTCTCCAGCAGTGAAGCAGTAACTGAAAAACAAAGAATCCTTTCTTTATTACCCATGATTCATTTATGAAATCCTTTATCTCATTCTTTGTCATGCATACTTTATCTTTCCATATTAGCCCCATTTTGGACCCATAATCTTGCGCTGTTTCCTTGCTAGCGTTTCGTACCGACCAGACTTTGCGTATCTACTCAGCTGCTACTCAGCTGTCATTTTCTCGAAACAAGTCAAGTCCGTTGTATTGCATATTTTTGTTTTCTTAATAGTCCTCTCACTTTTGGACATTTTGCTTTTCTTGTTATTATATGTATTAGCTAATAATCATGCTAGCTGATATGTGGCATGTGACTTACCAGATGCTAAGCCCCGTGGTGAATGCTTTACGTACCTGACGTCACTGGATCTCCAGAAGAGTCCTGTTTGGAGATGGGTATTGTTATACCCATCCCACGTGAGGACAGTGGGACACAGTAACTACTGAGGGTTTGCAGAACGTACCCACAGTCACACATCTGGAAGCAGGGGAGTCACGAGAAGACACACAGGAGTCTGACTCCAGCCCTGCTGTTATAACCACGGTGTGACCCTGTTGCAGCATGTGGTTAAGTGCCTTTTACAGATGGATTTGATACATTTATGCATCAGGTGTTGTTGGTGACAGTTCTATTGAGATATAATTCACATACCATTAATTTACCCCTTTGGAGTATACAATTCAGTGGTCTTTAGGGTATTCACAGAGTTGTGTGACTCTTACCACAATTAATTTTAGAACATTTCATCACACACACCCCCCCCAAAACCCCTGTACCCATTAGCAGTCACTCCCCATTCCTCTCCAGCCTGCCCCTTTTCACCCCTTCCTGGCCCTGGGCAGCCACTGATCTACTTTCTGTACAGACTTGGCTATTCTGGACATTGCATGAAAGTGGAATCTTGTGATGCGCTTCTTTCACTAAGCGTAACGTTTTCAAGGTAGGTCCATGTTGTAGCATGTGTCAGTACTTTATGCCTTTCTATTGCCAAATCATATTCCGTTCTGTGGACTTGTGCATTCTGCTTATCCATTCAGTTGGCGGATATTCGGGTTGCTTCCACTTTAGACTGTTAAGACTAGTGCTGCTGTGGACATTCACATACAGGTTTTTGTGGAGACACATGTTTTCATCGCTTGTGGGGCCATACCTAGGAGTGGAACTGCCAGAGTCATATGGTAACTCTCTATTTAGCTTCTAGAGGAGCTGCCAGACTGTTTTTCAAAGGAGCAGTGCCATTTTACATCCCCACCAACAGCACGTGAGGGCTCCGGTGTCACCGCATCTCCGGCAACACTTGTTCTTATCATTCTGGCCATCTTACTGGGCACGAAGTGGTCTCTCGTGGTTTCGATTTGCATTTCCTGACGGTTAACGGTGTTGAGCATAGTTTTGTGTGCTTGCTGGCCATTTGTGTATCTTCTCTGCAGAAATGTCTATTCTGATCCTCTGGCATTTTAAATTGGGTTGTCTTTTTTATTATTGAGTTATAAATATTTGAACATATTCTAGATATGAGCCCTTTATCAATTATATGGTTCGCAAAATTTTCTTTCTTTGGGTTTTCTTTTCACTTTCTTGATGTCCTTTGAAATACACAAGTTTTTTATTTTGATGGAGTTTCGTTTGTTTACTTTTTTCCTTATGTTTTTGGTGTCATACCTAAGAAAGCATTGCTTATGTTTTTGGTGTCATACCTAAGAAAGCATTGCTTAATTCAAGGTCACCTCCTGTTTTTCTTTTTTTCTGAGGGTTTTTTAGTGTTCGCTCTTACACTTTTGTCTTTGATCCATTCTGAGTTAACTTCTGTGTATGGTGTGAGATAGGGGTCCTCCTTTATTCTTTTGCATGTGAATGTCATGTTGTTCCAGCATCATGTCTTGAAAAGACTATTCTTTCCCCCATGGAATTGTCTCAGCATCCTTGATGAAAATCAGTTGACCATAAATGTGAGCTTTTTTCTGGACCCTGAGTTCTCTTCCATTGATCTGTATGTCTTTCCTCATGCCAGTACCACACAGTCTTGATGACTGTAGCTTTGTGCCAAGTTTTGAAACCAGGAAGTATGAGTCTTCCACCCTCATTCTTCTTTTTCAAGATTATTTAGGCTAGTCTGGGTCCTTTGAATTTCTATATGAATGTTAGGCTTAGTGCATTTCTGCAAAGAAGCTAGCTGGTATTTTGATATGAGTGGTGTTGAATCTATAAACCAGTTTGGGTATGCATCGATTTTGAAGGATTTTCTTGTGATGAGTTTCCAAGTACTGGAGGCTACTGGGTCTTAGGTCCTCTACGGTCTGCTCCGGCCTTCTACAAACGTCTTCCTCATCTTCAAGCACCCTATATTTTACCCAAACTGAGGCACTCACTGTGCGCTCTTCACCCTTGTTTCTTTCCTGACTCTACTTATTTTTTAACTCTTTGTCATTTTTTTCCCTGTCTGAAAAGCCCTTTCCCTCAACTCTGAGTGTCCACACCCCGTATCTTTCAAGGGTGAGCTTTAATTCTGCCCCCTGCATGAAACCGTCTCTGACCCCCAGATACCAGTTTCAAGCAAGCTCTCTCTCTTCCACAGTCAGTGGAGATTGATGAATGCCTTCTGTAGGCACCGCAGGCTTTGTGAGAGAAGGCAACTGACTGAGATGCTGGCCTTTCTCTCCGGGAGCTTAGTCTGGTGGGTGACCTGGCCCTGAAAACACGGAGTTGCATTACAACATAATCAGAGAGAGCTCTCTCTCGTCAGAGAGATCAGGGACCATCTGCCTTCTCTGCTGCTTTTCATCACACCCGGCTCAGCACATTCAGTGGACGGAGGGAGGGAGGGAAGCACCACAGGTTACAGTGGCCAGAAGCCAAAGGAAGAATAGATTCTGTCTCTCACTTCCCACCTCAACTCTGTCAGGATGCACTGCGGCTTGGACTCTGGAGTCAGACTCACCCGAGACTGTCTGGCTTTGCCACTTACAGCTTTAGTGCCCCAAGCAAATGACTTCACCTTTCTAGGCCTCAGTTTCCTTATCTGTAAAATGGGGGGATTAGTATCTACCTCATAATGTAAAGCTTGCATTTTAGCTGCTTACATGTTTTCTGCACGTCTGCACTACTTACCTCTTTCTTTGAGGGCGAGATCCATGTTTAATTCACTTGTGAATCACCTGAGACACCTGCCATACACAGTGTCTTGCTCAGAGGATGGGCTCCATAAAGATAAGCTTTATTATTCTCTGTTGCCAAATTAACTTCCAGAAATACCAGTTCACAGTACCACTAATGATACAGGCTTGTGCCTGTGTTCCACACGCCTGCCAGCATAGGTTTTAAATTTTTACTCAGTTTTACTATTCTAATTTTATTTAATTTTCATGTCATCATTTATTAGCAAGGCTGAACATTTGCACAAGTGTTTGCTTGCTGCTTTTGCTTACTCTTATATGACTTGTCTGCCTAGGAGCTAAAATTGCCTTGTAGACTTGTATTAATTTCCTACTTCTCCCTCGTGCTTTTCTTAGTTTCAAAATTTGCATTGGTGTTCATTTTTGACAACTAATTGACTTATAATGTCTTTATATTGATAGACTCTAGAGCCACAAGGGGATTTCCCATTCTGCATTTTCCTCTTAATTTGTTGAACCAGTTAAGTGAGGAGGCCCAGGGCTGCGTCCTGCCTGGGCCTGTGGTCCAGCTGTGGTGGGACCCCGGTGATCCTGGGTGGGAGGCCTCTTCCCCCTGACAGTTGCTGCCTGTGGGCATTCTGAGGGCAGGTCCTGGCATCACCAACAAGCGTCTTATCACACAAGGAGGGTGGGTTTAGGGCAGCCTGTTCATTTTGGGTAGTGTGGTCATTTCCTGGAGCCTGGAGCCTGTCCCCAGGGGGCAGGGTGAGCCCAGGCTGACTGGATGAACCTGTGGTCAGCTCTGTGAAGTCTCAGTGCATTTAAGGCCCCGATTTTATAGTCAGCCAAAAAGATGAGACTTCTGTAATGAATTTAAAATAGTTTGTTGCTATCCACACAGTACTTAAAAACTGGAAGACTGTTTGTTTTAGTAAAGTGCTGTATCCTTTCCCTGTGTTCATTAGCATGACTGAACACATTTCTATTGACTCTGTATAATATGTTTACTTAAAATTAGGCCTGTTTAAGCATGTGTAATTAGCGGCTTCATCTCTTACCCCGAGTTGCTGTAGACGGAGGAATAGAGCAAAGAGCAGCGTGGCAAAAGCAAGTAATAGACCTGCATTTTCACCTATTTGAGGGAAGTTCTCACCATCTTCACACTTTCCCAGGTCTGATCTTATCATCTAATAGTTTTCAGAGGTGCGGTGTTGGTCTGGGTGTTTTCCTCCAGGATGCCATCGCTGTCTTGTAGGGTACAATGTCTGGGGTCTGGATTCAGGACATTATTACTCATAGCTCATAGATCTGATCTAGCCCTCAGTTTCCTTGCCTGGGAAAAGAATCCACCCAGTTTCTGAGTTTCTACCTGGCTCTTTAAAAGACACCCTCCCCCCAGTCAACAATAAGACAACACGACTGACGGTAATCTCCCCTTAGTCAAGTCAGGACCGGTGGCATGACTGTCCTTCCCTCCCCACTCGGTGTCTGATTTGAGTGTGCTTACTTCCTGCCCCAGAAGTGAAAGGTCTTGAAAGTCAATGCCAAACGCTGACATACATTGTACCCTGGAGGCTTACTGGTAGTAATGATGATAAGAACATTCATGGCTATGCTTTATTGAGCACTTACTGCGTGCCAGGCGCTGGGCAAGCGAAGCATAGGAAGTGTTATCACATTTCATCCACCCAACGTCCCTTTGGGGTGGGGTTTCATTAACTCCGTTTTACAGATAATGAAACCTAGGCTCAGAGAAATTAAGTCACTTGCCTAAGATCATAGAGCTGATGGCGGAGTTGGGATTTCAAACCAAGGCACACCTGACTCCTGTATCCAGTGTCTGCAATTGATTGGAATTCATATTTAAAAACCACAAATGAACAAACAAAAAACACCCGGTTAGTCACCATTGGAGGTTGCTAGATTGCCAGCTCATTGCTTTAAGATTTAATAAATAAGAGCAAAGAATCACGTGTTTATCTTTCCTTTCCTGCACCGAAGCTTTTTCAGGGAGACCAAGTAGTTGAAGAAGAAAAGTTACTTTTTATGTAGAAGAATTCCAGCTAATAAATACAGAAGGAATCACAGAATTAGAAAATCACCATTTTGAAAACTTTAGTGAAATTATGGATCTAGGCAACAGTCATCAGGGGATGAAAATGCTGCCCAAAGAACAGTTGTTGGGGACTTGTTATAACCCAGGTCGCAGGCCGACCCCACCGGAACCCACGCAGGGTGGCAGAGCTGGACTCCGTGCCTTGTGACAGGACGCCATCGGACACCTCTGCACCACTTGTGAAGTGTTCCTACCTAAAAAAAATAATCTAACCGGCATCTAATCAAGCCTTTTGCTCTAACTGCCAGTTCACAGGAAATACCTGAGAATGACCCAATTTCCCCAACTTAGCAGTGGCCTGAAGGAAAGGAGAGGGTAGAGAGGTCCTTACAGAATAAAAGGAACCTAAGAGGCCTAACAACCAGATTCGGTGCATAGACATCGTTTGGATCTTGATCCAGGCAAAGCAATAGTTAAATGGTATTTTTGAGACAATGGAGAAAACTTGAATATAGACTATCTACTGGGTAATACTAAGGAATCATTGTCCATTTTGTTAGGTATGAGAATAGCCTGCTGGTCATAACAAAACAAAATTGTTTGCCATAGATGCCCACTGAGATATTGATGGGTGACATGACACAGTGTGGGGATTCATCTTAAATCCTCTGGCAAAACCGCCAGGGATTGGGGGGGAGAGGCGAAAGCAGCTCGTCCGTTGTTGACAGTGTTGAAACTGGATGAGGGGACCAGGTGGATTCAGTCTGTTGTTCTTCCCACTTTGGGAAATGTTTGAAAATTCCCATAATAAAGAGTAAAAAAGAAGAAAAGTCCACGTGGCAAAAGTGTTAATGTTCAGGGTGTCTGTGTGTATGTCCCTGATGGCTTGAGCAGTGAGCAAATGGTGGTTGTGGCCTTTAGAAGCCAGCCCCACGGGTTTATTCCAGCTCTGCATGCCCCTGGGCGCCTTTCCCGGCAGGGGTGCCTGGGGTCAGGTCCCAGGTGCAGGGCAGGGCGACTGGTGCCCGTTCCACAGTCACAGCCTCTGCACCCTGTGGAGGGCAGGCGGGGCGCAGCCCAGCAACCTGGATGGCTAGTCACTCCTGCCACCAGGAAGGGAACGTGACAGGAGACACGACATTCAGAATAGAGATGTTGGCATCTCTGGAAGACTCATACCTTTTCTTGTTGTCCTTTTCTTCAGAGGAATTGGCTTTTAGAAAAAAGAGGCTGTGCATTAAATTTATCCCACGGGATTCAACTGAAGCTGCAATTTGTGACATTCGGATCATGGGCCGGACCAAGCAGGCCCCTCCTCAGTACACGTTTATTGGGTAAGTCTTAGTAACACGGATGGGCTGTCTTCTCTCTGCCCAGAGAGCTCAGGTCACTCCTGGGGATAAAGTCCTGAGACTGTGGGACCCACGGGGCTCTCGGCCACCTGCCTCTCCGGCCTGAGCTCTCATTGCTGCCCTTCTTGCTAATGCTGCTGCCAGTCCAGATGCCAAGCTCTTGACCTCTCTGTGCCTTTGTCCATGCTGCTTGCTCCATCTAAGGGCCTTTCCTTGCCTTGTCCTTCTGTGTGTTCGTCCTTCAGGCTCCTCGGGGACCTTTCCACGTAGCTGAAAGCCCAGGTGTCCTCTCCTTTTTGACCACTCGGCCTCAACTCTCTGCATTGTTTATTCACCCCACTAGAGTTTGAGGAGCACCCATTTGTACCTCTGGGCCAAAGACCCTGGATATGGTGGTGAATGAGCAAGCAAAGCCCGGCTCTCGTGGAGTTGGTATTCTAAAAGGGGAGACAAGCAACAAACAAGAAATAAATGAGTGAGACCATTTCGTTAGTGGCAAAAATGAAACACAGCAATGAATGGAGGCTACTTCAGCGAGGGTGTCAGAGGTGGGGTTGGGGGTGGTGACATGTGACAGAGATGTAAATGTCAAGAAGTCAGCCATGCAGAGATTTGAAGGCAGAGCCTTCTAGGCTCAGGAAAAGAGCAAGTGTAAAGGTGGGAATGGGTGTGGCATGTTCAGGAGCAGAAAGCAGCCCAGTGTAGCTGATGTGGGTGAGTGAGGATGAGTCGGGCTTTGGGATGAGCGGTTAGCAGGACCTCATACAACATGGTGGCAGTTTGGATTTTATCCCAAGCATGCTGGGGAGCCACTGGGAGGTCTGAGTCAGGAAGAAACATGAGTATCATATGAGTACAAGATAATTCCTCGTGTACTTCTCTGGTCTGATGTTCATCTTCCCCGAGAGGCAGAGGACAGCTGAGGGCTAGGCCTCTGTGTCTTGTCCCGGTAGCCTCAGTACTAGGCACGGGCCCAGCTCTGTAGCTGTTTTGTAAATACGAAGTACAGGGAATCTCAGGATTTCATTCCGGACTCTTGCTTGTAAGTGACAGGAAACCCAACCCAGGCTGGCTCAAGCAAAAGGAAGAATTTGTGATCTGGCATAGCAGTGGAGTTCAGGGGGCCGGATGGCTTCAGGTGTGGCTTGAAGTAGGTGCTCAGAGGACATCACTAGGGTCTAGTTTCCCCGTTTATCTCCTTGCTCTGATTCCAAAGGGTGGATCCCATTCTTCCACATCTTCTCCCCTAGTTAGTGGACTAATGGTGGTGTGGGAGCTCTACCTACTTTTCCTTCGGGTTCCATTTCTGAGGCAAAGAGCAAATCTACATTCTTGATAAATCAAGCGGGTTCTAGAATTCAGTCTAACTGGTCTTAATTGATCTCACTGAAGTCCTGTGCCCTGAACCCATGACTGCTACTGGCCAGGTGTCATTGTCTGAGAAAGCAGAACTGAGCTGATTTTCATCCTGGTGCATGAAAGTTCGTTTAGACTCTTTGGCTGTGGAATCTGAATGCTCTGTCTCAGAATTCTGTGATCATCCCCTTCCTACACACTCCAAAGTCCTGTTTTGCAACATGGTTTAAACTAATTATATGAACAGGATTACGGGAGGAGGAAATAGTTAAGAGAATGACTGTACTTCAGGTACCTAGGAGCAGCCATTTACATATAAATAGTAGAAAGCAACAATTTAATAATGAATTTTTAAAGTCTAATTTCAGTTACTATGTGTATTTTTAATTACAAGCGATAGTACTTTAAAAGACTCAAATTTTAACCAATTTAAACAATTCTAAAGAATAGATTGTTACCATATATATCTTGATAATCAAAATTAGAGCCTTCTTTCTTTTATATCATTTTGGAAAGATCGCTAAATAAAGCATATTTTGTATCATCTTAGAGCAAAAACTCCTTTTCAGAAGAAGAAAATTCCAGTATTATTTTTAAGGAAGGAAAAAGAACAATGTCCAGAACTCGGAGTCACCTTTTTCTTAAAAATGAGGACATACATTACTCTGTAAGAGTTCAGGGTTGTCAGCTGGGGGAGACAAACCTCAGGCTGAGAACAGCCCCTCCAAGGCCAGAACCGTGGGGCCATCGCCGAGGTGTGATGGAATCAGGGTGGCCTATGGGAATCAGCCACCTGGTAAGATGTGATCGTGATTTAGAGTAGTTCCTGTAGTGTACTGAGAAGCTGCCAGGAGTCTCCACTGAATAAATCTGTCCTCGTCATTTGACAAGATGCAGTTCGATGGGGGAGTTGAGAAGTTTTAAGTTGGATGTGGCTAAAATAATCCTGTTCCAGTTTCTAAGACCAAACCTGTCTTGTAAACACTCATAATGGGGTGGGGTAGGGGCGCACATCAGGGAACAGGAGACCTGATGTGGCATCTGTCAAGCCCCTTTGTGATCACTCTTGGTTGCAGTGGTCCATGGGGCACATGCCTCAGGCTTTGTGGTTTGAAGAGGTCTCACCAGCTGCCCCTGAGAATGAGGCCAACTGCAGGTATATCCAGGCATTGGGAGCTTTATGCAGAAGTTGGTACATGTCCTTGAGCAGGGTGGGGCTAATTCCCCTCATAGGGAAAAAAACAGGCACATGCGGGTGCCTGGGTGGCTCAGTTGGTTAAGCATCTGCCTTCAGCTCAGGTCATGATCCCAGGGTCCTGGGATCGAGCCCTGTGTCGGGCTCCCTGCTCAGTGGGGAGCCTGCTTCTCCCTCTGCCTCTGCTTCTCCCTGCCCCCACTCAGGCCCCCCCAAATAAAAAAAACCCAAACAGGCACATGCATCCATTCGCTCATTGTTGCCCCATCTGTCTCACCCTAACCATACAAAGAACTTGAAGTGGATTATTACATAATTACCTATAATGAAGTGGCAAAATAAAAAGAATTTTGAAGACTGAGAACCAAGGAAAACATCAATAGTGTAGTAAGAAGGCAGGCTCCAGGGCAGGTAAAAAAGATGGCAAATCAGAGAGCCTGCCTTGTTGGGACAGTTGACTTCACATCAGGCTCTGAACTCTGACACCCAGAGCACAAAGGGCGGTAATGGAACTGATCTTTGTGGGCAAGAGTGGACTCCCTGGTTTTGGAGACTGTGATTCTTTTAAATGAGTTGGGTTTGCTTCGTTGCTCAGGTAAATGCTTTATGCTGAATCGCACTATGAAGATTTCTGTTTTCTCCTAAAGGGAACTGAACAGCATGGGGATCTGGTATCGAATGGGCAAAGTACCGAGGAATCATGATTCATCTCAACCCACAACACCTTCCCAGTCATCAGCTGCTTCCACCCCAGCCCCCAACCTCCCCAGGTGAGGCCTCGTCAGTGGTGTTTTGTGCTGTTATGCATGTTACAGTGATGTGGTCTTGGGTCTCACTGCGTGACATTTTAGAACACCTCCACTTAGTATCTGCTGAAAACTGCAGAAGCAATACACCGCTAGAGGAGATTTTTAAAAATCCAATTAGAAATGTTTGCATTACACGAATGTAAAGGCCATTCTGTATTCTATCTTGTACGTATTCTGCAGGCTCCTAAGGTAGCAGAATATGCAACTTTAAATTGGCTTGCTATTCTAAAGAGCTCATAGCTGCACACAGAAGCATGATTTGTAGCCATGTGGTTGGGATTGCTGGCCATAAGAAGGCAGAATTCCTTCTCTGCCTTGGTCAACAACTCATTTGAGGGTTGGTAAGTAATTTTGCTCGTTTTCATATTGTTTCTTTTCCCAGTGAGCTACAAACTAAGAAATGGGTAGTTTGGGTACGAGAGAATAGCGAGAAGGTTTTTGGGGGAGCTGGTTTCAGTAATTCCACAAAGAAACTTAGGTGAGCAAACGGGTCACTCTGCACCTGATTTCAGTTTAATAGAGGTAGTCATGGTCTCTGCAAAAACCAAGTGGTAAAAAGAATCCTGTCAAATAAAAAAAAAATCTCACCTCTCAGCACTGACTTATCGTGGTGAGCATTGCCTAATGTTGAGAATTGTCGATTTCCTATGTTGTACACCTGAAGCTAATATAACAATGTATGTCAACTCTAGTTCAATAATAAAAAAAATACCCTGCGCCTTACTAGTAGTGAATTATTTGAGGGCAAGGAACAAACAGCAATGAGGGATTAAATTTGAGAAAGTGATTACTAAAGTAAATAAAACAAGAATCGGTGAGGCAGTGCTGTTTGGGGATGGATGTAGCATAAATGAGAGGACTCTGTCCTTTGGGTCTGGTCTTTCTTGTGACAGTTCCGCAAACCCAGAGTGATACTTCAGCTTGACTACTCGGAATGGCCTGAAACTTGACAAGTAGTTTTTAGTCTCTAATTGGCATGAAGAGACAGGAAAAGCCAGCGAGCTTCCCAGAGTCGCAGGGTGAGCAGTGGAGTGTCTCCAGTTTAGGGGTACCGGGCCAACACAGCTCAGGTCAGCATTTTCACGGTCCTTTCTCAATACCCAGAGCATGGACACAGCTGCGTGCTGTCGCCTGTACCCGGGGTCAGCTCAGGCCCATCACCTGCGCTCAGGTCAGCTCAAACCCATAGTTCTGGAATGGTTACAGCTGCTGCCTATTGACATCACATGGTCTGGAAGGGCCTAGACTTGGGTCCCACCTCTGGGCAGTCTATAACTTTCTGTTGGATCAAGGGCACTGCTTCTTCCGGTTAAAGCAGGAAGAACGACCTCCCCAGAAGCTTGCCAGGCAGCGAGAGAACACGGTCACTAGCAGCTGAAGCGAGAGGGCCCGAGAACGCAGGCCACGGGAGGCCAGGCGGAATTGAAGGTGGTGCGTTAGAACAAAAGGTTTATAAGGTTTATGTATTTTATGTAAAACTCTTGTACAGTTTGTGGTTACAAGGGCTACAAGGAAATTGGATCAGTTTTGTTTTACTTGCCAAAGGAAATAGATGTCAGAATAGTCCATATAAATAAAGTGTATTCCCGGGGCGCCTGGGTGGTTCAATCGGTTAAGCGTCTGTCTTCGACTCAGGTCATGATCCTGGGGTCCTGGGATCAAGCCCCATGTCGGGTTCCCTGCTCAGCTGGGAGACTGCTTCTCCTTCTCCTCCCTGTTCTCTGTTGCTATCTCTGTCTCTCCCTCAAATGAATCTTTAAAAATAAATAAAAATAAAACGTATTCCCATGTGGCTGGGTTAAGCCCACCGGTATGCCGAAGGATAATCGAATGTTACATTAATGCTTCCGGATAAATGCCACTTGTCTGTCCCCAGCTCTCCTCTTTCCCTGGGCAGTGTTTTCCAGGTGGTATGCACATCTCTGTGACCCTCCTAATGAATTGCGGCGGAGGAGGGGGGGTGTCTTTGCTTTTTGTATTTTCCTATTCAGTACCTTTGACTTTAAAAAAATGAAATGCTGATGTTTCACTCAAAATTTCCACTGAAGGTTTGTGAAATGATGAGCATCTTATTTCCTTGAGGCTTCAGGTCTGTGATCTCCCCAGCAGAGGAATCCGATAGCTTTCTCTCCAGTGGTGACCTGTGGGAGACGCTTGTTTTCCTGGTGTGGGGGTCTGCAGTGGGCCTGTAGGGTGAAGGCTTCCAAATCCAGCTCCTGTGACCTCTGTTCGCCCCCACCCCTAAGCTTCAGAATTTAAGCTAAACTGGTAGTGTTTTCTTCCCTTCCTTTTTTGTGTTTCTGTGCCTTTGCTCATGTGGACAGCTATACAACGATGTGTCTAAAATCCCCTGGCTTAGATGTTGGCTCAAATGCCTCCTCTCCCAGGAAGCCTTCCCTGAACACCCTGGGGCTGGGCCTGGGCCTGGGCTGGGCTTTCCTCTCTGAATGCTTCTTTTCAGCCATCATGCCTTCACCTTGGGTTGTGGTCAGGTTGTGAACTCCTTGAGGGCAGGAACCATGTCCAGTGCCTGTTACCTCCTAGCGCTCCACCCAGATCCAGGCACATACTCAGTTTTGCAGCAAATGCTTCTCCAACAGCCTAGGACCCTGTGCTGCAGCTCCCCCCTGCCCCTGACGACTCCTGAGTCTCTGAGCATTCCTTGGGTCCTTTTCTGACTAGAGTGTAAGCATAAGAAATACTTCCAAGTGTGGTCTTTTGTGTGGACGCAGGGATCAGATGGCACAGCGGGGCTAGAGAGAGAGAGCGTGTGCGGTGATGCAGCGCCCTCTACTGACCAGATTTGGAGGTGGCCTGGAGGACTAGCATGCTGGTTCCAAGCAAGGGAGAGCAGGCCCTTTTCCCAGCAAATCCCCAGGGGACCGCAAGGGACCAAAGGAGGGCCAGTAGCAGACCTTGTTGTCTGCTTGAGCTCGAGCTTTTATGATGTACTGTATGGTGACTAACATCACATAATAAAAAAAGAAAAAGACAAGAATAATTTTAGGTAAAAAAAAGCTAAAAACGTGTGCTCTGCCTCCATTTCTTATGTTGTTACTCATATTTCAAAGAATTCTGTGCCATTTTTTGGAGAGCTGTTATCCCCAGCTTATTTCAGGCAAAAGGAGCGGTTGGTGGACTTTCTCCAGAGTTGACGAGTCATCACCTGAGGACCTCAGGGTCCTAGCAGAACTGCGTTCTCCAGAGGCAGGTGCCAGCCTTAGGAACAAGTGCTTCCTGCCTGTTTCCTTCCTGTTGTTGCAGGGAATGCTAGTCGGGAGGCCAGATCTCGGTTGTCCTTTCAGAATGGTTGAGCCCCTGGAGAGAAGAGAGAGCCCCTTGGCTGTATCCAGTGAATCGGATGCAGTGTTTGGTAAAGTTCATGGCAAAAGACAGGATGACAATGTGTCTCGGCAGACCTCTTCCTTGTTCAGTGACTCTGTGAACATATACATCTCTGCACACGTTTCCTGACCATTTCCAATTGAGAAGGGCATGCCACCTCTTCGAGGAGTGTGGAGCCCCCATTTTCTCTCTGGGCATCCAGGCTGCTCTACCCTCTGCCTATCTGCTCCATGCACCTTGCTCAGCATAGGCTGGCCTTGGGGCTGAGGCGCCGTCCCCTCTCCCCAGATGTCTGACGGACTGGCCTCAGCTTTGCAAGTCAGCCTGGTCCATAGAAGCAGACAGTTGGTGTTGGATCCAGGCTTTTCTGATGCTCTTCCATGCACTGCCTTGGGGCAGAGGGCAGGTAGAGGAAGCACCTTCCCACTTCAACCACAGCAGGTCCCACTCCTCCTCTCGCACCAGGTCTCACATATGGTTCTGCTGCTACCAGTTCCAAGGTTTGGAAGGGCTCTGGGAGGCAGGTGGATTCACAACTGATGGAGCACCGGTTGCCACAGAGTGTGGATAAATGAATGGCTCCATGTCGTCCCGGGAGGGGGCCCCTGGTGGACTGCTGCCCCCTGGCTTGCTGAGCAGTAGAACCATGGGCTTGATAAAGACATCAGAGGCACGCTTATCAAATTTGCAGATGACACAGAGTCATTAGGGAGAGCTGATGTGCTGAATGACAGAATCAATACTCTGCATCTCGAACACCCTACTGGAACCAGGAGATGAAAGGTGTTGGGTCAAAACAGCATACCCCACCCCCAGGTTAAAAAAAAAAAATCAGTTGCACAAGAACCAAACTGAGGACACCTGGCTTAGTGATTTGTGTGCAGTGACCAGGCTGGGCACGGACTGGGATTGTGTAGAATGCGGCCTGGTGTGCCCAGTGGGGCGTGTCCTGGGAGGTAGTGTCCTACACCTGTCAGGTTCATTGGGAGGGTCACGTCCACTGCCACACACCACCTTGTAAAAGTTACCCAAACAGCACGGAATTTGGGTACGACGAACCGTTGTCGTACCCAGCTGGCCTCAGGTGTTTAAATGGTCAATATGTAGCCGAGAGAAGGGTTTCCAGGTGGGGATGGGTTGTTGGCAGCCCCAGAAGACAAAAAATTAGATCACGTGGACTGGAGTTTTAAGGTGGTAGATTTAGGCTTATCATGTTCAAAAAAAATTCAAGAACTCCCCAAAGGCAAAAATGCCATGGCGTTGAAGAAGCCCACTCAAGAGGTTGTATGCTCCCAGCCGTGGGCAGCATTCAAACAGCATTTGGATTTTTCAGACCTGCAGGAGTTCTTCATAAGCCTTATTTAAGAAGTGTATCTTGTCCCCATCCTCAAAAATTCAGACTCCCACGGCACCTGGATGGCTCAGTTAGTTAAGCGTCCAACGCGTGATCTCAACTCAGGTATTGATGTCAGGGTCGTGGGTTCAAGCCCCGCAGTGGGTTCCGCACTGGGTGTGGAGCCTACTTAAAAAAAAAAAAAAAATCAGACTCCCAGACCTGCACAGTAGGTCTTGCAGACACCTTGCCGAGGTTGCCTCCGGGCAGCTCCACTGGGTAG